GTCATTCAAAATGATTTTAAATCACATTTAATATAGAAACCTAAATATAAAAACTCTCTCTAGTTCAAAAAAGTTAATTGTGTATGTTTAGGGAAAAAAAAACTTTTACTAATTTACTTTTAAATAACTGAGAAGCAGAGAAAACAATTTTAACTCGTGTGAAAATAGGCCAATAAACAGAATGGGGATTATGGATAAAGTGAAATGGAACTAAAATTTTTAAACACCCCAAATTTAATGGGAAGTGGAGAGGGAAATGCTATTAAGTACATATAACAAAGTTGTCAAATTACACTGCAATATACTAAGAAGGAACTGAAAAATTCTGAGAAATGCTTGGAACATCCTCTGAATATACAATTACAAACCTGGAAAACATCTTCATGCTTAAGTGAAATATTCCTTTTTAAAGCAACCTGACAATTCAACCAAGTTTTAAATTTACCTGGTTCCCCTTCCTAAATTTTTCATCTCTCTTCCTAGTCCCAGAGGCTCAATATAACCGTAGAGAAATCTGTCCTTTTCATTCCCACGCATTTCCTTCTATTCCTGCTAGCTGAGCAGCCAGTACCTCCCGCCCCTAAATGAAAACCTCCCATGGCATCTTCTGCCCCCTCTCTCCTCGTGCCCTGTACGTCTAAAGATTTGCCTGGTCTTATCAAGTCTGACATATGTGGCGTTTGCCATTATCCTAACACAGTTTCTCATTTTAAACTATAAATTGAATGTATTATATAAACTGCAACAAAAGAGAGCTAATAGACAAAGAATTGCCACCTCAAAGCCAGGTCTAATTATTTTGGTTGTTACATGTTTATGATAAGCTAAAGGATGTAATATATTCAGTCACAAACTGACACAGCTTGAAATTATTGTACATACTTCACTGAACTTTTTAAACTGAAACTAATTTACAGCAGGCCCAGTTAACACTTTGGAAAAATCTCGATACAGAACATGTCTGATTTCTCTGCTAAACACGTGAAGATGTTACTTGATCAGAAGAGGCCTTGGATTTAAAAGTCACTGAGGACTGTTTAAATGTTAGCTCACTAAACCAAGATACCAAAAACAACTGCCTTTGGGAAAACTATGATGGATCAAAGGAATTGTTAGTAATGAATTCCTGAATTCCTTGAGATGGTCAGTCTTTCAGTTATCTAAGAGACTGAATTTGTCAAAACAGAAATGTATTTCTTACTGATGCAGACTCCACCAAGAATTAGTCACTTTATGGTGATAAGTCCCAAGATAGCTCTTTCTACAGCCAACCTGAGTACCATGTATCCTTACTAAGCGTATCACACCCACAATAACGATCAGGGGATATTTAAGTTACCAGTACAGAGTTATAAACACAGATGAAAAGCATGAATGCATAATCTAAATTAAAGTCTTAAACAGGAATACAGGGAGCCCTGGGATGGCCACGGATAAGCTCCAGGGGCTCAGTGAATCTCCCTCTATAATATGCAAATACGCACACTCATCTGTATGTTTTTCTGGGTAAGAGTGTCCAGTGTGTTTAGCAATATACCAAAGTTGCATTAAAACAAAACAAGATGATGAAGACTACCCAAAAGTATCAAGACAGAATGTGCTGTAGAAGAAAAAACTAGTATTTGAAGATGAAGAGTCAAGTTTAGACCCTAGTTCTATCTCTCGATCGCTGTGATACTTTGGGTAAGTTGCTTCACTTCACTGAGTATCAGTTTCTTAGTCTGTAAAAAGAGAACAATGATGCCAAATATGAAGATCACACATCATTAGGATATAAAGTACCTTAACATAGCGCCCACCAACCATTACGTTATCAACTGCTGTCTGCTCTAAGAACACAACAATGGGTTAATTACAATAAACGAGCCACAACTCATTTAAAGTCAAGTGCTAGATTAGGAAGTTTATTTTTCTCCGGAATGTAGTTTCATAAACACGTGGCTACCCCCTGTACTTCTTCCCCATTGCTGCTGTTAACAAATGCCGAACAAATTGAGTGGCTTAACACAAGGCAGATCTGGAGGTGGGAAGGCCAAGGCGGGTGTTATGGGCCAAAATCCAGGTGTCAGCAGGGCTGCATTCTTCCTAGAGGATCTGGGGAGGAATCGGTCCTTTCCTTTACTAGTTTCTAGAAACTTCTGGCATTCCTTGGCTCTCGGCCACATCTCTCCAACCCTTGCTTTCATCCTCACATCTCCTTCTGTGACTCTGACTCTCCTGCCTCCCTCTTTCACTTTATGTACTTTTTTAAAGTTCTTTTTTAGTTTTGCTTTTTTTTTTCTGAGGGGAGGGGGTAATTAGGTTTATTTATTTTCAGTGGAGGCACTGGGGATTGAACTCTGGACCCTGTGTATGCTAAGCACGCGCTCCACCACTTGAGCTATACCGTCCCTGGCCTCTTTCACTTTAATAAGAACGTTTGTGATTACCTTGGTCCCACCTGCTAATCCAGGAGACTCCCCATCTCCAGATCCTTCACTCATCATGAAATGTTCTGTCTGCTACTTGAGGTAACACATTCACAGGTTCTGAAGGTTAGGACATGACATCACTGGGGACAAGAGGGAGGCGTTATCCTGCCTACCACAGACCTCGGACGTGACTCAGCACTGCGTAAACCCTGGTGCTAACTAACATAAATGGTTACACCTACATTCTGAAATATCAGACCCTTGATTAATTTATCACTTTAAAATCCAACAGCTTTCGAAAGAAGCCATAAGCAATCATTTTTATCTGCACTTTTTAATCTTAAATCAGCTGTAACGGGTGCATGTTATGCTTTCTTTTATAAATGTAACCAAGCTCCATTTTACAGATTATTGCTATTTATAACCAAGAGAATGCCTGCCATTTTATTTGGCTCCATTTTAATTTTTCTAAATCACTCTCCAGATGTGAGTGCTCCATTTATTTCAAAGCTGGAGGACAGAGAGGAAGTATAAAATTTATTTAACATAAAGAGAGGACTAAATAGTGTGTGCCCATCAGTTCTGGCTTTCTTTTGATACCTACTCACATCTGAGCATAAAATGTAGACCCAAACTCACCAGCGGTTCTCTATTCTTGACCAGACGGATGATTTTTACTGAGTCTTCCTCATCATCAATGTCATCAGGCATTGGAGGCAACACAGGATCGTAACTCTTCTGAGCCACAGTATCGTGGACAGAGAGCAAAGCCTATCAAAGTCAAAGGTAAAAAAGTCATCACAGAGAAAACCCCGAGCACATCCAACCATAAGGGAAATCTAAGTGATGTTGCAATTCTGACGCAGTGACAGTAACAAGGCAACTACGTGAAGAGGCGCCTCTGACAAGCGGGGGGGGGGGGGTGTGGAACAGTGTGGATACCAGCGCTCAGCAAGACCTGGCCCAAGACTGCTTCTCCCTTGCATGTCCTCTGTTTCACCCTGATAAAGGTGGTCGTTGCGGGGAGATTTAGTGAGGTGGGTGTGACTTCTGAAAGGAGGGAGAAAAGGAGGCTACAGATACATTGTTAAGCAGCCAGGAGTCTGAGAAAATGAGGTATTTTTTCTTTACTGCTGTTAGCAGAAAACACCAAAGGAATTGATCTATACAACCGACAAGCTTTCATTCCTCTGCTGTTTTGTGATTAATATGTTCGTGAAAGAATAAGATAAATTTTTTTTTTTTTTTTTTTTTAGTGACGATTGTTACGGTGCTAGAACTCCACAAAACATATGGTCGTTAGAGAGCAAAGGTGAGAAAAACACTGGAACCCTGACATGCCACTCCTATCGGGGGCGACTGGGTCTGGACTCTCGACAAACTTGTTTCTGAATCAGCAACAGCACGGTCCTAAGTTATTCAGGGCAGAAGCCTAGAAATCCTCCTTGAAATCCATCCTCTCACTTGAGCTCCCCATGTCCAATCCCTATCCTGTTAAACCTCCTTCCAAGACAGATGTGACCATTTGTTATCTTCCCTCCAGTCCAGAGCAGAGGTTGGCCAGCTGTGCCACCTGCTTTTGTAAATGGAGCCTTACAGGAACACAGCCTCGCTTGTCCATCTCTGTATTGCTTATGGCCGCTGTCACGCTCCACAGCAAAACTGAGGAGAAGCAACAGGCATTTTTTACATAAAAAGTTGGCAGACCCCTGGTCTGGACCATTCATGCCATCATTTTTAACCTGGAGCATGTTTACCTGGAGCCTCTAAATGGCCCAGCTGCATTCACCTTTGGCTTATTTTCAAACCCATGATTCACAGTGTAACCAGAGTGAGTATTTTGAAACTTAGAGCAAACGACATAACTGGCCTCCCAAAATTCCACAGCTCCCCATTGTTTCAGGATGAAGATCAAACTCCTGAGCACGTCCTAGTCTTGTGCTCGTCTCCAACGTCATCTTACACCCACTCTTCTCTTCAATGAGCTGAAACAACGCTTTCTCATAGAAGCCTGGCCAAAACACCCCATAGAAAAGCAGACCCCTTGGTTACTTGATCTCACAGCCCCATCTTCTTTGCCTTCATACATGCTCACGATTCTTAACCATATTTGCATTGTTATGTGCATATATTTAGTATCTGCTATGTATGCTGAAATGGAAGCTCTAACACGGCAAAGAAGTGATGCTGATTTTGTAATTAAGCTTTTTTTAACTGACTATAACATACATATGGAAAAGTACACAATTTGTAAGCACACAGCACGATGAATCTTCAAAAATGAATATGCCATTGGGAGTTTGGGATTTGCAGGTACTAACTACTATATACAGAATAAATAAACAGCAAGGTCTTACTGTATAGCACAGGGAACTAACTATATTCAATACCTTGTGATGGCCTATAATGAAAAAGGATATGAAAAGGAATATATATGTATAAATGAATCTCGATACTGTACACCAGAAATTAACACATGGTAAACTGACTACACTTCAAATAAAAGAATATGCCCAGGTAAACATCACCCAAACAAGAAGTACACCATCAACTGCACTCCAGAAGCCCCTACGCATGCCCCTTCCCAGGCGTCACGGCCCCTGGGGAGTGGTGGTTTGGCCTCTAGTTAAATATTGCATACATAGAATTATAAGTGCACGTTCACGTTTTCCCCTGGTTTTAAGTTAGTGAGTCGCCCGTGCTGCTACTGGTAGCAGCAGTCATTCATTTTCACTGTCGTGTGGCCCTCCAACATGCACAAATTTCATAGGTTCTTGACCCACTATGCCTTTGAGGGACATTTATGGTGTTTTCCCAAGCTCTTGGCGATCATAAACAGTGCTGCTATAAATCTTTGCTGATGCATATATACATATAATTTGGGCTCAGTATACTGAAGAGTGGAACATCGGGGTCATTCAACCCAGGGAGACA